AGCGGTCTGCTCGTTCCGGCAGTGCATGAAACAAATCTGGCAGTTCTTGGAGCTGCAAGAAGGATCGTCAGAAGCGTCTTCCATTATAAAATAATATTTATATGAATGGTGTAACAGCACTGTAGGGCACTGTTGCTGTCTGATTGGATTAAAATACTATTTGCAGCGCAAATTAAAAATCCACATGCCGAATAAATAGAATCAGATTAAGATCTTTTTTTATTTATAAATTATAAAAACTGTCAAAAATTATGGAAAATTTGCTTCATTTATTGGATACCTAAAAAAGCAGTTAAGTGAATAATTTTTAGCTGTGCTTCCTAGAAAATATTCTACGCTATTTTGTGGCTAGATCAGCCTGGATTTAATGAATTAACTTACCACAAACACGAGCACGAGGGCGAGGGCGAGTACGAGTGTTAATTTCAATTGCAACAGCAGCAACAAAAATCATTGCCTACTTTGGGGCTGGGGCTGGGGCTGCGGCTGCACATGATTATGCACCTGATGATGCCCAGCAGACGCCATTTTGTTTTGTTTTTCGGGCGCAGAGAGGCATATTAAATCAAAAAAAAAAATGTTAAATAAAAACAGCAGCAAATGGGCAGGGAGCGGTGGGGGGTAATAGAAAGCAGAAGGCAGAGGAAGAGGAAGAGCGCGCTAAAATAAATAATTAACAACGGCAGCAAAATGCTAGAGCGAGACGGGGCTTAAACAATGGAGCACACACACACACACAGGCACACTCCTCACACACACACACACACACACACACACATGTACAGGAAGCTAGTGAAAGACCAATCAGCGCGACAAAACAATGGACCCACACATACTCGTGCACACAGCGAGCGAGCGAGTGAGAGAGCGCATAAAGAGGGTAGGGAAGGAATGGGCATGGAATGGGCTTGGAAAAGAATAGACTACAGAGTGGGTGGCTGAGCGGGGGCGAGGAGCGGCAGGGGGTGATTTAAGCAGCCGTTGGTATGTGCCGGGATAACTCCACCATCCCCACTGTGTCTCCCACTCTTATGCTCAGGTGGAAAGCGCGTTGCCTAATGAATTCCAACAACAACGGAGAGACAGCATCAAATTACAAAATTAAAAATGGCGCTGGGGGAATGCCAGGAAGCGAGACCAAAGCACACAGAACGGAATAACAAAAACAAAGAGGCAGTGAAGCAAGTACAAAGTACGGGGCGAACAGGCTAACAGGCAACTCTGTCACAGCATAATACTTTGTAATAATTCGTAATTATTTATATTAATATATGATCAAAAAAAAAGCACTCAAGTTAGTTAACAGCAGCAGACTGTACCCAAAGGTGATTTGTTCAGATAGAACACACAAAATTAAATGCCAGAGGAAACGTGAAAAATATATTAAATTACTGAACTTACATATGGCAGCTGCGCCGAGACAATTAAATGTAGTTAGAGTAATTTTTTCCCATACACGATCTTCCATTAGTATTTTATTATGTTATCTTTTTGAATCCAAAAAACTATGAATTATTTTAAAACTGGAATAGAACAGATGTCATTATAGCTGCAGTTTATTAGAAACTTGTAGTAATTCTTCTACAACTTTAATAGACGATTTTTTTATTTTTTTTTTCATGCAGGGCCTTTGAACGAAATAAAATGATATACTCGAAAAAATGGAACATTTGTCATTAGCTTTAATATAACGTTTAAAAATACCTAACCAAATCCTGGAAAATATATATATATAACTAGAAACGGTCTGGAGACCCATCTACATACATAAATTCATAAATAGATTTCATTTAGATATCATTTAAAATATTATTCATACAGACTCTTAAATATTGGGGGTAGTCTGGTGTAAAAAGAGTTACAAACTATACCGCTAGCAGAGATTGGAAAAATTTTCTGGAATTTTTTTTAGATTGTTCAATATATTACAGAGACTTTATGGTAAACACTATACTAAGTTATAATCTCTTTACAGTATATAATAATAAAAGAAATACAATATAACCAAAAAACCGAATTAACGAACTTTTGCTGATTTAAATAGGGCTTCCACATCAAAGTAAATGAAATTATATATCCATTGACTGAATTAGTTGAGTCTCAATCATTTTGGAACATAATATTGGAACAGAATTATAGGGAAATGGGTTTTTTAATTGACTTTTAATATGTTTTGGCATTTTGGCGGATGATGATCACATGCTTACAGCATCCGTAAGTCCGCTTGTGGATAGCCCCAACAAGGAGGATCTTGTGTATCACCTTGGGTATCCCCGAGTAGAATGACATCTACATAACGTAGAAAGCAGAAGTTTTTGTAATCCTTTTTTCATAATTTCAATGAACCTGTCAACGCTGCCTGGTCGCTCGTCGCTCGTCAACGCCTGTCAGGCGCTTCCCCCACTTCTATCCCTGGTCAACCCTCTCACACACACACACATACATGTATACATACATAGGCCCACACAAAGCCACACAGAGACAAGGACATCATCTGGTCTCGCTTATGATTGGCTTCAGCGCAAAAAGCGAACCAAATGAAAATGAAATAAAGCTCACACAAAAACACAGCGAAGCCAAGGTGGTGGTGGGTGGTGGGTGGTTTGGGTGGTAGGTGGGTGTGGGTGTGGGTGGTGTGCCACGCCTATTCTTCATAAATAATAAATATAATTTCCAGCGCAAGCGCAGCGCAAAAAAGTAAAACGGAAAAGCGTGTGCCAGTGGCAGGTGGCAGGTGGTGGCATGGTGCATGGGGTGGTGAGGGGGGCCCCGAACACAGCACAACACAATACAATGCAAATGCAAATGAGAAAATTACATCCCTTCATTTGTTTAGCACACACACACACACACACACACACGCAGAGAGAAAGACACACACACAGACAGACAGAGAAAAAGAGACAAGGATGTGCTTGCATTGTTTCGCTGCTCCCTCCGTAGCTGTTGCTGCTGCTGTTGCTGCAACATCAACATCATAATCATCATCAGCTGTGGTGGCAACCTCATTTTCTTATGCCCCCCCCCCTTCCTCCCACTGCCCACCACTGTGCCACACAGGGTGTTGCCTTATTGTTCTGCTGCCGACGTCAGCGCCGAAGCCTGTCCCTCTCTCTCTCTCTCTCTGTCTATCTTTCTATCTTTCTCTCTCTCCCTCTCGCTCTCGCTCTGCCGCAGCTTGTAGCATTAAGTGATTTGAATTTTATTATTCACAGGTACAACATTCCATGCACAAAGACAACTTTGGTAGCTGGGGCAGCTACAGCTACAGTGAGGCAAGGCGAAGGGAAAAGCGCACCCAATGGCAAAACAAAAAGTAAGTCCAGCAATGCAAATCGAACAATTTTATATAAGTACACTGATAGAAAAAAAGGCATAGTAAATTAAATATTAAATTTAAATATGAAATTAAATAAAATTAAATAAATATTTTCATATTTATGTCAAAATGTAAGTGAGAAATATTCAATTTTAATACAACCACTCTTGGATGAAAATCAATGGCATAAATATTAAAATCTAAGTGAAAATATTAAAATTTCAGGGCTTTTTTTCTATCGGTGTAGTACATTATTGAACTGCTGGTCTGTTGTTATTTCTTAAGCTACGATTTACATTGCAAAAATTCTTTCTTAAGTGCCAAAACACTTTTAGACCGCTTTTTCAGGCGAAAACCCATTTTTCAAAACTAGTTCAAATATTTGTAGCCGAATAACATTGATCTTTAATGTTACGCCAAAAAAAAGTTAACAGTGCGCGCCACTGTTAAATGAAAAGCTGTTTAAGTCCGCTGTTTGCTATCGTTAGGCGGAATGTTGGTGCAAAAAGTTATTTTTTCATCTTGTAAAAATTGCTAAAAAGTTGTAAATTTATCCTCTGCAGAGGTGGCAATTGCCTCCGTAAAAGCACATATATTTTTTCTGCTCGATTGACTTGGCTGTAAGCCCTCGGCTCGAAGTGTCGACCGCTTCTCACTCATGTTAAGGTGCAAATGCATTCCGGCATGCGTTTACTTTACTCAGCTCTCAAGTTATTCTACAATAAGTATGCAACACTTTGTGCCTCCCGACTTTTCATTGATTCTAGGCACACGGTGCAGGGTACACGAAACTCATCTAATGGAACAGCACGCTGTGCTCTGCACACAGGACTTTCCACTCTTCTCCCATACACACACACACACACACACACACCAATACAGTGATATATAGAGGAACAACGCTTATGAGGTTTTTGTGCTTGTGCCGTAATTTTAACGAAGTCAAAACGAGAAAACAATAAACCCCCGACGCAGTCACAGAGTCGCACAAGAGGAGAGCAGCAGCAGCCAGCCGACTGAACACGAACGAAAGAGCAAGAGCAACCGAACCGAACCAAAGCGAACCAAACCGAACCAAAGCTTCGCGAAGGCGCCAGCAAACGAATGGAGCGAGCTTATGATTCGGAGGCTGCGCAGCGTGTAGCAGGCCAGAGGGAGATGGCAGTGCCGGTGTGGGTGGTGGTGTGGGCAGAGCCCAGAGAGCGAGAGAGCGGAGGAGGCCCAAATGTTAATTGCATTCAAGCAATCCCGTTAAACGCATTTTAATTGGCAGCGAGCGAAAGAGAGAGAGCAAGAGGGAGGAAGAGTAAAAGGAGAGCGAGAGGGAATGCCACTCTAATTAGTTTTCTTAGCTGAAGAAGTTTCAAGTGTTTCCACCAGAGAAGACAGAGTGGGAGACAGAGAGGACGACAGAGTGGGAGACAGAGAGAGGAGAGAGAGCAAGAGAGATGGAAAATATAATTAGTTGTGGCAGAGGGGGGCTCGCTCGGGGGAAAAGCTATCTTAATTATCACAACTACAAATGCAACGAAGAGTCGCAGGCGCAACAGCACACCCACACACCCACACAAGGATTAGCTAGAGTCCTGCCGCTGCCTCTGGTTCTGCTGCTGCTGCTGCTGCTGCCATTCGCTGCTTCATAAAAGCCACAGACCGCCGACTGCAATTCCACAGTCGCTGGCCAAACGTACAACAGAATACACATCTCTCCATCAAATCTCTCTCTCTCTCTCCCATCTCGATTAATTACCGTTACCGTTACCGTTTTTTTTGCTGTTGTTGTTGTTGCTGTGACGCCCACTGGCGGGAAGTTTTGAAATATTGCGCGGCTTCGCAATAAAATTTTTTTTACACCTGTGGGCACCGTTTTTGTGAAGCCAATCAAATCAAGAGAATCAAGAAGAAACTCTCGCCAAGAAACCCAAACAAAAATCTAAAATTTACGCTTCGAAAAAAAACGCAACAAAAAGCAAGAAAGTATCAGAAGACAAATCCCTCGATTATGGCTGGACCATTTATATCGCCGCTGCCCGGCGATCTGCTCACAGAGTACATGTTCGGACGGAGGCGGCAGCGCCGCAATCGTACCACATTTACGCCGCAGCAGCTGCAGGAGCTGGAGGCCCTCTTCCAGAAGACCCACTACCCTGATGTATTTCTGCGCGAGGAGGTGGCCCTGAGGATCAGTCTCAGTGAGGCGCGTGTTCAGGTGAGCTTAAGCCCCCCCCCACAAATGTGTCCAACGAACTGAGGGAAGGGCACTTTGATGCTATATTTATCCCAATTAATGTAGCAAATTATCGTAGAGAGAAATATTCGGATGGAATGCAATTTTTTCCATGCAATTACTTGCTTTAGTATTTTATTATATTCTCCTTTTGGATGCCACAAAAAATAATTGATTTCCCATGGAACAGATTCCATTATACAGTTCCAGTTTATCGGAAAATACGTAGGAATGCTTTTGCACCCTTAATCGACTTTAATCGATTTATTGTATTAGTTTTCATGCAGGAATTTTGAAGAAAGCACTCGAAAAATAAAGGCAATTAAATAAATGAACATTTAGCATTAGAGTTAACTTTATAAAGTTGAAAAATCCCCAAAACAAATCCTTGAAAAATCCTTGAAAATATATCAGTAAACTAGAAAAATCGAAATTGATTGAAGGATTTTTACCTTTGGCATAGACGTACATAAATACCGAGTATTTTTGATTAACCGTGCGCCTGTTCCTCCCATTGGTCTCTCAGGTGTGGTTCCAGAATCGTCGCGCCAAATGGCGGAAACAGGCGAGACTGCAGCTGCTCCAGGATGCGTGGCGTATGCGCTGCCTCAGCCTGGGCACGCCACCCGTCTTGGCCGGTGCTGGGGCGCAGTCCGGTGGTGGCAGCAATCGTCCGCCAAGCCAAACGGCCGAGAATCTATCCGCTGGCAAGGACTCGCACGCGGGCAGTGACTTGAGCGCCAGCGCGGATGCTGCCAACTTTACCATGATGCATCCGGCATTCCAGCAGCACCAGCAGCAGCAACATCAGCAGCTGGGGCAGGGCCAGGGGCAGGGGCATGCCCATAGCCAGGACAAGCTATCAAGACCTACACGGAACTGAAGCTGTACAAGGCGCCCGCGCACGGCATGGATCTGGGCGGGATGGCTGCCCTGGCCAGCAACTCCGACGACGGATCCGATGGCTCAGACTCTGAGGAGATCGATCTCACCTCCGGTGCCTGCATCGACTTCTCGCAGAGCAGTAAACTCCACACAGCAGCAGCAGCAACAGCAGCAGCAGCAGGGCTCAGGACTGGCTGTGGGGCAAGCGGCGGGGGTGGCGCCAGCCAATGGCGTGCTCTAGATACTCATAAGCATAAATATGTATATATATATATATATATATATATGACAGTGTATATATCGGACATTTAATGTGCATTTTATCCACTGGTTCACATCTGTTTACTTTTTTTCCATTCGTTTTTGTTTAGCAATAAAAGAGCAGTCTAAAATAAACCCAAAACAGATATCTAGCCATATAATACTTACATATAGTAGCGCAACGATTTACTCGAACCTGGCTGATCGGTTACCTTCATCCCGACTGGAATGAGAAGCCCCCAACTGTTGTACAAATGTCAGGCCCCACCCCAAACGAATTTTTTTCTGCGCTGACTGAAAGCCTTAAATAAAATGCCTAAAAAAACAGTAAAAGGTCAAGTACTGATAAAAAAAAAAACTAAAGGATGATAAATGAGAAGTTTTCGAATTTTTACTAAACGATTTTCCAGAGTTGATTGGTTTCCAGAGTTTGTGGCAAAGAACCAAAAGGAAATCAAAACTATTTGGTAAAAAAGACCAACAAATTTAGATCCAATAATCCATAATATATAAATTTAATGGTGGCATTACCCCCCAAGATATCCAAGAGATGCAAGAGTCAAAAGTATTAGAATTAGTTTGAACCGCGTACAGCGCAATATATCTACACTATGTGGCCCATCCGGACGGATCGCATTATATACTCACGGATGAGAATAAACGATTGAAGTACAACCAATTGAGAGGCGTGCAGGAATAGCCCATGGAAGCTGGAACCAAAGTATATATTAAGAAGAGGTAAGGTGGAACTGAATTTCACTGCACAATGCAGAAACTATATAAACTTTGGCTACGAAGTTGGAGCAGCTACACCTGTGCCAAAAACGAAGGAACTGCGGGCGAAGATCAACCAGCACCACAGATCTACAAAGAAGCCCATAAAATATATATTTGCCATACACAAAATTACAGAAATGTTGAACAAATTAAGAACAAGTAACAATTAAGCAATGCATAGAGACATACAGGAGAATTTTAGTCCAACCACTAAATCACATTACAACATAATTGCTCAGAGAAGCAAGTGAAGAACGTCAAATGCGGAGTGTAAGCAGCATTCAGGATTGTCCATGTTATTTTTTGGGTAAAAGTTAAATAAACAACAAAACAAGCCAGCTGCATGTACTCTGAGCCCCCTGAATCCCTTAGAATCCAGGCAGCCCCCATTCGAGAGATCCAATAAAGTAGACTATGCAAAAGTCGCAAGAGATGTATGGTGTGGCAATAAAAAGTTGATTTCCCACCTTTTATTAGCCTAGTACAAACTCATATTTTGTTTTTCTTAATGCAAATTTGTATATCAATCAATATTCAAAAATTGGATATTGGTTTAAAGAGAATAACCTCGTCGTTTTGATAAAACCTAGTAGTCAGTTCTGAAAATTATTTGCCAAAAAAAGTGCTATCCACCGAGTGTGCCCAGATGTGCATGATCAGTCAGCTGTGTTTTGCTTACAAATCTGTTAAAAGTAAACAAAGTTAATGAAATGCTCTTCCCCGGCTGGGGTCGCTCCGGGCATATTCTGGGCCACCCCATTAGTTTATTGGCAAAGGAATCTGTCTGGCTATCAGCAGCAGACATGAACCGGTATACTTTCAGTATATTTTGAAAATGAGAAGGTATATTTTGGTATATGCGCAGGTCAGACGGTATATTGATAACTCCGCGGCTTTGTTATCGGTTCTTTGTTATTATTTGTTTTGTTTTGTTTTGTTGTCATGGCTCGTTTACACATAGTTTTCACTGTCCTGGCATTGGGTTACATTGGTTGGATTGCGAACGGAGATGGGACGAGCGGCGCTGCGACGGTGCTGCCGGTGGTGCTATGGCATGGCATGGGCGATACTTGTTGCCTGCCCTTCAGTTTGGGGTCCATCAAGAAGCTGATTGAGGAGCACACGAACGGGACGTATGTCCGTTCGCTGAAGATCGGCGCCAATGTGGTGCTGGACTACGAGAGCGGCTTCTTCATCCATCCCAACGAGCAGGTGGATTATGTCTGCAAGCAGCTGGCCCAGGACGAGCGTCTGGCCAAGGGCTACAATGCCATCGGATTCTCGCAGGGCGGCCAATTCCTGCGTGCGGTGGCCCAGCGCTGTCCCGAGCCGCCCATGCGCACGCTGATCACGCTGGGCGGCCAGCATCAGGGCGTCTTTGGTCTGCCCATGTGCCCCACGCTGACAGCCCACTCCTGCGAGTACATTAGCCGCCTGCTAAACGTGGCCGCCTACGAAGAGTGAGTACGCGGAGCACACACACACTTGTGGTCTCTGCAGCTAATCTCTCTCTCTTTTTGGCTGCTCTCCCGGCAGATGGGTGCAGGACGAACTGGTGCAGGCCACATACTGGCACGATCCGCTGCACGAGAACCACTATCGTCTGGGCAGCACCTTCCTGGCGGACATCAACAATGAATTGTATCTGAACGAGAACTACATCGAGAACCTCAACAAGCTGAAAAAGTGAGTGTACCATACAATGCTGAAGGATGCTGCCAAATCTAACGCAAGTCTTCCCTATCCTCTCCGTTGCCGCCCAGATTCGTTATGGTTAAGTTCCTCAATGACACAATTGTCCAGCCAAAGGAGTCGCAATGGTTTCAGTTCTATACATCCGGCCAGGATCAAGTTATTCAGCCCTTCAACGAGAGCAAAGTCTTCAAAGATGTGAGTTTGCAGTCTACCCAACCATTTATGCATATTTTTGCTTAAAACGAATTTTCTGGCTCTTTCATTTCGTAGCTGGGCCTGGACCGCATGCTGCAAAAGGGCAAGCTGCAGTTTCTGGGCATTGAGGGCGATCATTTGGCCATATCCAAGGCGTGGTTTATAGAGCATTTGGTGCCGCTGCTGTTAGCATAAGACGTCAAGGCGTTGGGTCGCAGAGAGAGAGAGGGAGAGAGAGAAAGCAATGACCAAAAAGAAAGAGATGGAAATGGAAGTGGAGAGTGCGAAAATAACTCACGATTTTAACATTCTATGACAATATACATATATACACTTACATACATACATATATATATATGCGTATATTTCTGTTTCTTTAATTAGATATTTAGTAAATTCAGTTACTGCATACAAAACATTAAAAAAAAAAACTTTTACGTTTTTTTTTCGCCCTTAAATGTAAGGATGTTTTCTTGTTGTTGTTGTTGTTGGTTTGTTTTGTATTCATTTTCGTGTGTCACAATCTCTGTGTCTCTTTTAGAAGATCGATAGGATAGATATATAGATATAGGATATAGATATAGTTAGTTAAATGTCTTCTTAAGTAGTTAGTTGTGTGTGTGTGTGGTGTGTGTTTGTGTGTGTATGTGTGTGTGTTATAAATATTTCTCTGAAATATCTAATGCAAGGCAACCGCGTGTTCCGACTATAATGATCGTAAATCGTAACGTAATTACTTGATACATATTATATATATATATATATACATATACATATACATATATGTATATATATCCACTATTTTTATATAACGCTATGTACAAATGAGGCAAAATAACAATCAAAACAGAAAAAAAAAATACATATATATGTATATATAGCAGCTTACAGACGACAACCAATCGATCGATTTACATATATATATAGATATATATAAAATATAGTTGAAGTTTAATTACGATTCACAAAAGGAATGACCCGGTTCGGGTTGTGGTGTGAAAGAACAGAACAAACAAAAAAAAAAACAAACAAAACAAAACAGAACAGAACAGAAAAGAGAATCCGTTTCCGTTTCGGTTTTGGTTTTGGTTTTTTTTCTTCTGTTTTTTTTATCGGTTTTGGCAATGTGTGACGCATGACGAAGAGTACTACGGATCGATCGCTCGAGAGCCGAGCCGAGCCCCAACATTGTGATCGGGCCACACAGCAAGCACATCATAATTTTGATTTTAGGTTTGTGTTGCGGGCAAAGAAGATCTCTGGATCCTTGTGCGGTCGCTGAATCTCGCGATAATTGTTGACTATCTTTTTGGATTCATCTTTGGGACACGATTGCAAATTGCGAAACACGCTCACCTGCCGAACAGATAAGAGAAACGAACATTCCATATAGTAGAACGAAACTAATGACTTGGGTATGGACTTTCGACTCACCTGACCCCGCGACACATAGATCGGTGTGCGGTAGATAATCCATGTGACGCTCTCAAAGTACGGCGCCGTTGTCAGCGAGCCCTTGTATGTGTAATAGTGTTTGCTCAGCTCCTGCAGACCAATCCACGATAGGCAATCTGTGCAAATAAATTTGAATTAATCTTTAGTTAGTTTTTACATGATATATATATGGAAGGAAGTATGGATGCGACAGCCCCAGCCGCAGCCAACTGCTGCTGCTGGCTGCTGGGCCCACACACCACTCACCGGAATCCAGCGATGCGCTCGTGCTTATCTTTTGGACAATGCGTATGCCCTCGGTGATCTTTTTGAATTCGGGACAATCCTTTTCGCCGCATGCCTGTATGAAGAAGGCCACCACAGCGAGGCCATCCGGCTTGTTCTTGGCATCGGTAAAGTCCTTGTACTTGGCATTGTAGTGGACGGCATGCGCTTCCATTGAGTACTTGATGCCCTCCAGTGTGTGCTCGCAGCCGGACTCGTCACAGTCGGACCAATGGAAGTGCAACTGCTCGAACACATATTTATTCGTGTCCAGGGCCCCGCCAATGATATACGGCTGCTGTTTTCGCTTGCTAAAGGTCACCATGGCCGAGGTGCCCGTATTTTGGACACGGGCCACACCCACCGGCTCCCAATGGCCATGGTATTCGAGGGGATCCACATCATCGATATGCGCGATGGCCCGATTGCTGATCTCAATTGGGGACTGCACCGGCATCTTGGCAGAGCTCTCTTCCTCTCCTCTCGCTCTCGCTCTCTCTCTCTCTCTCGCTCACTTCCACTTCCACTCTCTCTTCGCACTGCTCCACTCCACTCCACTCCACTCCACTGCTCCGCTCCGCTCCGCCACAAATCTCCTGTGTCGTATCTATGTGATGTGAGGCCCGCTGGGATATTTCTTCTTCCTCAGCTTGTAGACACGCCCGCGATCGTCGGCGCTGGCGTCGTCCAAGTGCTCGGCTGACAACAAGTAAGCTTTCGGCGGCGACGTCGTGGTGGCGACTGTTCTAATTGACTTTGGCGTATCGGAAAATGTCGTCTAAGGCTGCCTGGTCTGGAGCCTGCTCTAGAATCGCACTCAGATGATGATGATGATGATGATGATGGCAATGATGGCCGGCCGGCTGGTGCTGGTGCTGGTGCTGGTGGTGGTGGTGTGTACTGCAAATAAAGAGACATGCCAAGCGTTGCTATTAATATTTGAGTAACAACAAAATCAATTAAAGGTTTAGCGTCTCGCGTGACGGTTGTGTCTATGTTTAGACACGCCGCCCCTTCCCACCCCTCGCCGAACACACCTCCCTCAAGGGGGAGGTGTCATCGTTTGATTAGCCATTTGTTAGATTAAACTGCCAGGAAATAAAGACATTTGTCTTTATCATCCTGTCCCGGCCTGTCCCGGCCTGGCCCCTCTTGAAATATTAAACGGATAGGGGGGGGGGGCAGAGGGTCTGGTCTGCTGGTCTGCTGGTGTCTTGTTTGCACAATTTCCCATCGTTACAAAACAATTTGCATTTTATCGATTTGCACTTTGCTGCCATTCAATTCGTAATAAAAAATACAATTGAAATCATTCCCTTTGATTGGGTCCAACTATAATTCCAATTCAACTATTCCACCATCCAACTATACCATCATCCATTCACTCACTTGATCGCACGTTGTTTGATTAATATTTGGCTTTAAATAGTTATTATAATTAATAACTAATGACTGAGTCGAGAAGTCGTAAATGTGCTTATTCGGGATTTATGAACTCTGCTTTAAGACAGATTAATACGTTCAGCGGCAAAGTGGCTCTCGTTTGTGCTCTGCAATAAAGCCAAATATGATTTTAATTGACACTTTTATAAGCCGCAACGTCTCCAACGACCAACTGACCAGGGTGCAAGTTTCAATCGAATCGCCATGTCAGCGATCGTCAGACGTTGGCTTATCGCCGCCACTAATGGCAAACCACCGATAGCAGAGACCGACAGATTGTTTTACTTTTACGACATGGGCAATGCGGAGAGCGACAACGGGAACGAGAACGAGCGTGAGAGTAAGAGCAGGAGGGGCCCATCGTATTCTGTTGATAATTTGAGTCAAAGACAAGGCCGCCACATAAAAGAGTTTTTTTTTCTGCTCTCAATTTTCGTATGACAAACGATATTCAGACGATTTGAAAACTGAAGCTTTCAGAACTAGAACTGAGAACTGAGTACCCAGAAGCTTCCAGAACATAGCACTTGACTCAGCAGCAACATCGGCAACAGCAGCAATTCTACCCTGATGATGGGTTTTCATTGGTCATTGGCCTTCCCTTCCATGTACACTCCATACATTTGATATCTTATCTCGATTTTTTGCATTCTATTCCTGCACCTGTGTTCATCATCATCATCATCATCATCATCATCAGTTTGAGCACTGTACGTCATCACTTATGGACGTTTTTCTCACACTTGACCTTTGATCTGTGCGAGTCCAGATTGATCTTTGTGGCGTGCAGCAAACAGTTTTCAATTAAACAACCAAACTCTCTCTGGCCCTTATCTTATCCAAAACTTTTTAGCAGAGTTCTTTAGAGTTGTTTTTTTGTGCACTTTTCGATGGGTTCATCATGTCGAAGCGACGGACTGTTGGACTGCATAATTCGGCATTATCTTTAAAGCTTGTTTAGATGCCAAGTTTTGTGTGTTGTTTTCGTGTAATCTTATCCAAAGATTTATATGATATTTGGACGCATTTTGCACGTTCTCTCGCAACTGTTTGCTTAACATTGCTTAAAGCTTGTTTGTGCTTGCTGGGAGACCTCGGTTGAACTTTGTATCCTTTTGGAGTCCGAAAATTACACAGTTTTATTATACTCTTTGGGCGGTTTGCTGCAAGAAATGTAGACTGATTAAGAAATGGTTTACAATGCGAGATATCCACGCATTTCCTTACCTCGTATAAAGTCTAGATAGTAGTCGATTTCATTCCCATTCCCTCTGTTCCTGTGCTCGATAGCACTCACCATTTACAAGAGAGAGAGAGAGAGAGAGTGGGGAGAGGGCAGAGCTCTTATCACTCACATTACGCGCTCACGTTTATTATCTGCATAAAATTACACAACTAATGATGGGTAAACAAAAGTGAAATGTATTTATAGCGCCGTCCGAGTACTATTTGTTATCATTGGGCGGGGGGTGGTTCGGGTTCGGGTTCGGGCATACAATTTGCATAACGCTTTCTCTCTCTTTCTCTCTCTTTCTGTCTCCTAATCAATGGAGGAGTACGAAATAGTGTTGACCATCGATAAGGTATCGTTGTTGTTGTTGTTGTTGTTGTTTTTTTTTGGGTGGAAAATTAACGTAGCGAGCGAGACTCGACTCAAGTGGCGGAGAGGCCCACTTCACTTCACTTCACAAATGGAATCTGCCATCAGATGGAAACGTCAGAAGAGTGGTGGGGGGAGGAGGGGAGGGCCTTGAAGGAGAACGTTGCGAGAATCAAGGTTTTTGGGGTTTTGATGGATGATCTGGATTTGTATCTGTATCGGTATCTGATCGTGTCTGTGGGATCGTGTCAGGGGAAACGTAGGCAGGCAATTTCACTTAGTAGTCGTTGGATTGGTTGCGGTGATATCTCGGGGAAATATCTCCGTCAACCTTATCGCCAGACGACGATGATGCCGACTACAACACTGCGACATTGTAGAATCAGCGAATATGTCATGGAATGGCATGGGAATTGTGGAATGGATGGGAAGGGGGGAGGCCATGGAATGGGGGCCGTAATAAATAAAAGAAGTTAAGTAATTGCATTGACCGATTGACTCCACTACTGATGGAAAGAGGTCAAACACACACACACACATGATGGAGAGAGAGAGAGAGAGAGAGCTCATCTGCTGTGTGCGAGTGTTGGGATCCACGGAAATGGAACAGGACTACTCTACTGGGTGGCTAAGTATTTTGTTAGCCAACTATGACCTCATCCATCCATCAAGCGGCTATGCTATCCGGTCTAACAAGCTATCCCGCGTTATATATGGGCTAGTCAACGTTGACGAGCAACGACACGAGCAATCGAAGGAAGCAACAGGAGCCGGAGGGAGCCCATCGACCAAACTTATCAATGCAGAAGAGAGCGTTGGTTGCTTTCAAGTGCGTTTCCAGGTGGGGCCAACTGGCTACTGGGGAGTGTGTGCCCGTCACACTGTCTCACCTTCACGATGGATATACCCTGCACCAGCTGTTCTCCTTGTGGGTGTGTGTGTGTGCTTGCTCTTTGGTAGCAGCAGCCAGTAGCAGCAGAGGCAGGAACCAGAAGCAGGAACCAGAATAGAAGAGGAGAAGAAGAGAATTATGAAGCAAATCAATAAAATGTTTTTGCTCCAAGTGCAGGGTCGCCCACCCATACAGTCAGACCGACCTTCACACACACGGACACATAACGCGCCGCTGCTGCTGCACACGTGAATGTGAGCCGGGATGGCAAATGTCGTTGGCGACATGGGGGAGGAAGGGAAGAATCAGGAGAGAACAATGAATGTGGGAAGAACAGAGCGAAGCGGAAAATACCCAATTTTTTTTTTAAAGAGCTGCCGGGCGGGCCGGCTTTGTTGTTGTTGCGGCGACAGACATTTTTAATAACTGTGCTACGCACACACACGCGCATGTACACACAAATACAGTTAAATTCGCGCATGTTTGTGTATGGATAAGTGCGAAGAGTGGGAAAGGGGAGCCGCAGTCTCATCTCCCATTTTTGTTGGTATATATATGTATGTACATATGTATGTATATTTACCTGTTGATTTACTTCTGCACTACTGTCGCCCTCCGCATTCCACTGTACGAAATCACCCCACTAAATCAACTAGACACCAGACAGTATCAGTAGCAGCAGCCGTAGCAGCAGCACCAACAATCAACAGCATTAATTTATGCAAAACTTTTGACTTTGACACGCGCGCTCTCGTTTCGTTTCACTGTTGCTCCTTGCGCTTCTTCTCTTTGGCAGTTAAATCACACACACGGACACATTAATGGACGTTATATGTACACAAAAACAAGATCTAACGCACTGCACTGCATCTGCATATGCGCGTGGAATATGTATTAACAAATATAAATGAGTTTGGTTCACGTCACGTCGCTTGAGCCGGTTCGTGTTGGTTCGCCGTTTATGCGTCAGCATAGTGCAGTTATACGCGATATGCTAGCAAAACCATAACAAGAAAAGTAGATAAATTCAACGATGATTTTGGTTCATAATATGCATACATTTATTTCGATATCTTATTAGCTATCGCAAAAATTGGCAAATAAATTGAGTTTTTGCCTGCGAAGTCTGACGTGTAAACCGAATGGCAGCATTGCACTTGACAAATGGCAACATTTCAATTGGCGAACTAGTTCGCATGAACGAACTGAAATTTAAAATTCTGCCCAATTCGCGTAATAATACTAAATAAAAGAAATTTTGGCATGTAAAATCCGGAAAAAAGATTAATGGACCAGGGATTCCAAAGATAATTGTGACTTCCATTTCCCGGACATGCACGAGCTTTTTATGGGCGGTTATTTACAAAAAAATATGTATTAGGTATATAGTTAAAAAATATAGTACATACTTTAATAAAAATATGTGCAGGGTGTACAATAAATATTCGTATCGTATATATATATATATGTATATGTATAAAATCAACATGGTTTCCGCTTCGCTCTCCTTCCTTCAATCGCCTTGAGGTACACAATTTTCATAACAGTTTTGGTAATTTACACGATTATATACAGTGGGAGATATACATGTATATCCCACACAGATTGGGGGGCTAACTGGCCCTGGCCTGGAGCCGGGTACAGCGCAGACAGGGCTCACTGCGCCTGGCCTTCCAGCAGCTGTGATGCGAGCAGGCTCCGCAGCCCGCGCAGCGCTCAATCTTCCGCTGCCAGGGATAGAGGAGCTCGCTGCTCTTGCAGTATTCACACACAAAGGCTCGGCCTACGCAAAGCTGCAGGAGGAGAAGATGCAATATAGCCGAGGGGGAATCACCTTACTGATCACTGATTACACTTACCACACAGTTGTGGACATGCTGTTCGCTCAGGAGGATCAGTTCCTTGATGGAGCGGCTCATGCTGCTGTTTTGCACATCCACAAAATCGCACATGGACCACATGTTCGGATCCTGGGTGAGGTGCACTGGTATGGCATTGAAGAATGCCTGCTCCCTGCCAAGGAGAACAACAGAACAACACCCAAGAGAAACGTTTTTAGATTATGTTTGTATAGATCCCGGCGATCCACTTACCTCGCTGCAAAGCGACAGTTGCCAATGAATTTCCTGACGGACTGCAACTGAAGGCGCCGGCGACGCGCTGTGGCGAGGTCTTTGTGCTTGACATAGAGCTGGGCATTCAGATCGGGCACATGGAACAGCGGAAAGGTGTACATCTGCTCGATGAGGCGGTAGGCAAACGAGCTGACCGGATAGCAGCGAAAGTCCCAGTTCTGCAGGATCTTGGCGGGTATGGCCGAGATCTGATTGCGATGGCAGCCCGTGCACATGTACTTGCCCAGGTAGCTACAGTACCGGAAATGATGCTGATACTGACGAGCCACACGCATCCCGCACCCGGCACACCGATTCCCCTGCCGACTGAGCTGCTGGCCGCGACTGACGCTGGGATGTTCGGTAAAGATGATCTGCTGGCGGGGCGGTGCCCAGGTTTTGGTGCCGCGCGTCAGGCTAGCGCCGGCATTCTCCTTGTCCTGCTCCTGCTTGGGCATTGGCAGCAGCTGCTGCGGCGTATCCTGCTCCGAGACGAGCCACTTTAGGTGCCCCACGCGCGGCAGTTGCTGATCGTTGAAGCGCGAAATGAGCTGCAGTCCCACGGCCTCGGCACTGTGGCTGCTGTGGCCGCCATCCAGCGAGCCCATCTGCTCCACGTACGGCATCAGATCGGGGTCCGTCGAGTAGGGGGCGGCACTGGGCTTGGCCACGTCCCGGCGGCTCCACTTAACATGCTCGATGGCCGTGATGCAGGCCTCCGATATGCGAAAGTGGGCGTTCTCCTTCTCCAGGTCCGTGTTGTTGTGCGTGTAGCGCGACATTTGCAGGAAGGTGGCCAGCGACTGTTGGTCCATCTTGTCGCTGCTCAGGCTGCCCGGCGTGGCGCTCGCCGAACTGGAGCTGGTCGCCAGACTGCCGCCGTAGCTGCCATCCGCCATCCCAACAATGTCCAGCGGCGCAGTGCAAAAGGTTGAGGGAGATGCCGCTGCCGCGGCCGCCGCCTCATCCAGCATGCTGACGCCCTCGAAGAGGGTTTGCTTCTTCTTCAGCTTCCTGCCGTTGACCGGCAGAAAGTTGTCCAGCACACTGTCGCCGCCCAGACCGTTCAGGTCCTCGCCCAGGCCGTGATTAAACCAGCTCGTGTAGACAGGCGGGGAGCCAAAGAGATTCGTCAGAAAGTTGTTCAGTGGCGACGCCCTGATGCTGCACTGGGACTGGGATTGGGATTGGCAGTGGTACTTCGACTGCGACTGGGGAATCTCCGCTGGTTGGCTGTCCGTCTGATCGGTCCAAATCTTGATGTCGTCGCAGTTGATTAGCTGGATGCGCCGCGGACTAATGCTAGACATGCTGGTGCTGGAGCGGCTCGAGCTGCTGTGGTAGCTGCCCGCCGAAGTGGAGGGCAGCATGTCCGGCTCATCCCCCTGGCCGCAGGCAGTCGTCGTTCTGTTTGTGCGGGGACTGCTGTAGGTCTGGCAGCGTCGACGTGCCGCCTCCTGCTCCTCGTCCGGGTCATGGTACAGATTGGGCAGACTCTTGAAGCGTCGCAGTCGTTGGTGATGCCGCACATGCGTGGGCGACTGCCGTTGCTGTTGCTGCAGATTTTGCTTCTCCTCCGGCACCACCTGCAGACGCGGCGAAATGTTGAAATTCGGCTGCGAGCAGGTGCGACGATGGCGCAGCTGCCGGTGCACCTCCAGCTGGCTGAGCAGGCTGCTCTGGTTCAGCTGCACCGCCATAAGGCACACAAACAGCGTGGTGGCATGCCCCGAGTGGCGCAGAAAGGCCGACTCCCGCTGGTAATAGCACTCCATCAGCTCCTTGTCGGCCACCAGCGACTGCAGACACTGCGACAGGCAGCGCGCCTGCAGACAGCGAGTGATCCACCGGCGAAAAAACTCATCCACACTACGCGGGGCCTGTTGCGTCTGCTGCTGCTCGCTGCAGCGGCGATAAGGCGGTTGCGGCTGCTGCTGCTGCCGCTTCATCTTCTCTTCGCTAGCGAGCAAAAACTCAAAGTCATCGGCCAGACGCTGCAGCTCTCCGCCGCCGCCAGGCTGAGGCTGCAACTGATAAAGAGCCACCACAACAATAAATTGCATGAGCATTCGTCATCGCAGCAGACTCTCTCTCGCACGCTCTCTCTCTCTCTCTCTGTCTATGCTTACCACCAGGTCATGTTGCAGGATCTGTGAGCAAGTTTGGACTAGCATCTGGAAGCCATCATCGCTTTTTGTCTGTAACCAATAGTTGGTGGCGCGTCGCAGCTCTGCGAGCAGTGTGGTGGCAACCACTTGCTGTTGCCTCAGCTCTCGTCGCTCCCGCTGCTGGGTGGCGTCACATCCCAAAGTTGTGGCTGCTGTCGGAGGAGTTAGTGTTAGTGGTGCGCTGGCCATGGCTGCTCTTGGTACTGCACTGCTCTTGCTCTCCCCTGCTAGGCGGCTGCTTTTCACGCATTGTTGACCTGCCACATTGTTGATTATTCAATGGTTTTACGTTTATTTTGTTGCAGTACGGAATCAGTTGTTTTGTTGGTGAGTGGGGGGAGTGTGACCGCGGACCTATGAACTAAAAAAATATACCAAAATATACCTTTTCATTTCCAAAATATACCGTAAATACTTGAGCTGGAACTGGAGCTGATATTGGAGCTGGCAAAAAGTTCACCGAAATAAATTTGTGAAATATCCAAAAATGTACAAAATGTTGTCGAAATCTTATCTTATCAGATTTTTGCAACTTTCAGAATTTGCGTCAAATTGTTACACAAAATTACTTTCAAAAGCATACTGCTACAGTGTGACCATTAAGTGAGCCGAAAAAACGGCGATAGTGGTGATGAAAACATACCAGACAAGACACCATTCCTCTCGATGTTTTTTCAGTGATGAGACACTTTTGAAAGTGTCGTTTTTGATTGTCTTTATTGATATTTTTGTGCAATACTTGATATTACCAACGAAACGTGTGGGTAACAGTCACAAGAATATTCGAGGACACAGTTACAACTTTAATATATGTATCTACGTCGTAGATTCTACGACGAGCTGAGAAAAAACATTGCCACATCTGTAGAAATTGTTGCACGTTGAGCAAAGTATTTCAATGCGTATTGAAATACCATACCTAAGTATGACCCTACAGCTGGGCGCTAGTGTGACCGTCAATTATCGATAAGGAAGACGCAGAAGAGGAAGGAAACAAAAACAGAGAAGAAAAACAGAACCCGTCGCGACTCGCGAACAGCAAGCAGTACACACAACCACAACACATCATACACACACACACACACATATACCAGGCAAGCCAACCACAATAAAGGGATCAAGAATATTCGTGGCAACAGGATGAACAACGGCTTCAGCACCGGAGAGGAGGACTCCCGTGGCCATGCAGACCAGACCTGCTGTCTGATTGACGACATGGAAAGGTGTCGCAATCAGGCCGGCTACGCCAGCTACAGCAAACGCATCCAGAAGACGGTGGCCCAGAAGCGCCTCAAGCTGAGCAGTGATCCGAGTGCCCAGCATATCTACATCTGTGACCACCACAAGGAGCGCATACAGTCGGTGCGTACCAAGCGCCGACGCAAGGACAGCGAGGACGATAGCAATGAGACGGACACCGATTTGCACGAGTTTCCCGATCTCTACCAGCTGAGCGTTGGTACGCTGCGTCGCTACAAGCGCCACTTTAAAGTCCAGACACGACAGGGCATGAAGCGGGCACAGTTGGCAGATGTAAGTTCATCTAATGAGAGTTTTTTTTGTTGAATTTTGCCAGATATATATATTATGTTCATTCCTATGCAGACCATCATGAAGCATTTCAAGACAATACCCATCAAGGAGAAGGAGATAATCACGTTTTTTGTGTATATGGTCAAAATGGGAACAAATAAGTTGGATCAAAAGAATGGTATTGGCAATGATACCACCTGAAATGGATCAAATTGGATACACAAGGGGAGGATGATACAACGGCATGCTAGCTAGCTATCTCCCTTCTACACACACACACACACACACACACACATGTTGTTGCTGCATTTGCTGTCGTCATCATTGTACTCCTGACGTCAGCATTGTTCACTTCTTATAGCAATCATTGTCACCACCCCCCCAAGCCCATGCCTACCCAGCAAGCTTCCTACATCCCAAACAAACAAAAAAAAAAACAGAAGATAAATACTAAATAATACATTTAATTGTAGAATAACGCATGTAATATAATTTACAACTAAAGAAATTAAGTAAAAAGCAAACACAGCAACTGGTGCTCCCCAAAAAAGAATAAATATGTATGTAAGAAAGAATAGAAAGAAATGGTAAACAAGAAAGAAATATTAACACTAAGAAGAATGAACTTTTACAACTTTATTGTAGCATTGGTTAGTCCGTTGTTAATAGATCTTTATACACATAATAATAATATATCATAAAATCTAAACCATTAAACCAACGCACTAATAAACCATGTACATTTTACAAAAAAACAGCAAAACAAAACAGAAACCAATTGAACAAAACGGAAATCAAAAAGCAAAACTAATATTCGTATTTCCATAATCAAATCAGCAAAACAAACACACAAATTGCGTTCACTCTTATGCGTTAAGCCGGGGCTCGCCCTCCCATCTTCGATGGAAATCAAAAGCAATTCCCATAGTCGAAACAAATTAAATTTTCTTTTAATTGAAGATCGTTCACACACATAAAATTCTACTGGTTGTACCGATAACGATAATCTTCTGCCCCCTCATAATGCTAGTTTAAGCTTAAATAAGATGGAACCATCGGTCGGGCGGGCCACTGGAAAACTGAACGAATTGTGTTAAGGTCTAGACTGATTTTTAGGCATACAATTTTAGGCTTAAGTAAACAATAATGGAAAGCATGTCTAACCTATTAGTTTGTAGATTTATTATACATAAATTGTTTACAAATATGTAGATGGACTTGCTTCGCTTTTCTTGCCCTCCGTATCGCTTTGGACACATTTCCCCTTTTATTTTTTTAGGAACTCTGTTGCTGCTTCTTTTTGTTGGCTTTGGTACGCTTACGCTTGGGTTTGCCTGGCCCCTGCTTTGTCAGATCTATGGTGGGTTCAAGTTCGGGCTCCTGCGGCAGCCAGCCACTGGCATCCATTTGTTGTTCTGTATAAAGGGAGACATGTATGGAGGAGAGGCACAAGGAACATGATTGAGGCAAGACTTACGCTCTTCCTGGGCTGGCTGATCGTTCTCGACGTCCTCTGTTTCGACTTCTTCGAGCTTTAGGCTTGGCTTGGCCTCCACTTCTAAGTCCATGTCCTCTGATTTATGCTGCTGCTGCTGCTTCTGATCCCCCTTCATGAGAGTCTTGAAGCTCAGCTGCTGTGACGACTTGGCCATTAAACCCAACATGCCAGCGTATTTGTTTGTGCCCCCCTGCAAACGCTGCTGCTCATCCAGATCCAAGGACTTGCGTATGAATGCAACCATGGCCTTACAACGATTCGCAGCATTCCGGGCACACTGCATGATGGTACGAACATCCGTTGGGACAGTGCCGCCAGCATTGAGGGTGCACAGCTCCTGGTACGAGTTAAAGCTCAAAATAATAGTCGAATCGGCGCAATTCTCCTCCAGCAGCGTGGGGTCCACAAAGGGCTGAAAGTTGCTCGTGTAGATGCAGTAGGTGACGCTCACGGGATAGTGCAGGAAGAGCAGGGGTATCATGTCGCGCTCCTTCTCCGCGTAGGTGCGCAGCTCACCATCGGTAAAGGTCACATCGGGACGACGGAAGTGCATTAGGGCAGCCAAAACGGCAATAGTGCTGGCATCTACAGAGAGGAGGAACATTTTAGTTGGGCGAAGGTATTCCTCGGTGACACCCATGACTGCTTACCATACAGATTGCCATCGTGATTGAGAACATTGATGTCTACACGCAGGCACCAGACATGCAGCTCGGAAGCCACACACAGAGACTCCAGATCCACACAGCGAGAGGTGCGGAATGTCCGCTCCAGCAGTGAATTCAGCGTGAGCGAGCGTTTATCGTGCGTCTTCTGGGCCAAGTCTAGGTAGGAGACGCCAGCAAGGGTGACAAACAGCTGGAGCTTGCCCTCATTTGGCCTGGACGTGGTTGGTGTGCCCATGTCGCAGGTTACCTGGGCCATCACCTTGGTATTGCCCAGCGCCACGATCACCGAGCCATATTCCCCACCGAAGGTTAGTTGGACATCGCGGCTTTCGCCGGACTTGCGGCCATCGAGGCGTTGGCTCTGCTTCACCGCCTGTTGGATGAATTTACGTTCGGTCTTTGTTTTACCCGGCTCGAAGAGACCTGTGTTCATAAACATTTTAGTTCTAGTTAATTTTTGCTCTTTGTTTTGGATTCTGGTAGGGCCGGCTTTTAAAAACGTGCAGAGATTCTGCAGAGCTGCCACCTAGTTTGATAAGATATCGACACCGAAACTGGTTCAGTTACACTGGAACTATGGATCTACGAAATAATATACGGTTGCGTTCGGGATGAACTATAAAATTTTAAGATTTTCGGAAATTCATGGTATTTTATTCGATACGGAGTATGCCGCTTATGAACTGAATTGAACTTTTAGTTTAGTGGGACCATATATTCTTCTTTAGCTCTCTTGACAGTTGTTCTATCATCGTATCCTAACAATAAATTAAATTGATGATTTATTAAGTTTTTATTCATCCATAGAACAGGCATTACTAAAACTAAACAAAGAATATAAAACCTTAGACATATAAATCGCGGGTCCAGAACGAACTGACTCGTCTAATTCGAACTAGAATGCCAACTCTGGTGAAAACATCTTGAGTGTCATTAGTCCGGCAGCACTGACACAGAGTCTCAATTCTTTTTTGTGGTGGTTTGGTGTTCATTTCGTACGCGTTTCGTGTCCAATGAAACAAATAAATTATAAGAAAAGAATATAAAAAGGTGATCTACGGCACAACACCTAGTGGCGGATTGGAGGCTGTGCATCAAAGTTCGCATTCAAGTGGCCCCAAAGTCTGCAGTCAAGAGTGGACAATCCTCTACACACCCACACACAGAAGCGAGACTGCGTGTGTGTGAGGCGTGTGTGCTTCTGTGCGAGCATTTCTCGTGCGTCTGTGTGTGTGTGTGTGTGTTAGTGCGTACTGTCGTCGTAGCAGAAGAGGAAGCAGCAGAAAGGAGCAGCAGCCAAAAGACGCAAGTCGCGATTCGATTCCCCAGTCGCGGAGTCCAGGCCGTAGCCGTAACCGTGATAGAAGAAAAAAAAACCAGCGCATCAAAAAAACCACATACAACCCACACACACACCAACATACACACAAAAACACAGTCAAAAAATGCAACAGCAGCAGGAATCGGGCGGCGAGGAAAGCTGGCTCGAGGAGCAGTGTCACCATGAAATTGACGGCCAGCATGATGAATTCGAACGGGAGTATGTGCGTCAGCGTGACAACAATTTAGGCACCGTCTGGGGAGCATTCCAGGATTCGGCCACCGCTGTGGCCCAGCTCTATCGCGGTAAGTGCCGGGGGGAAACTTTGGTAACAGGGGCGTCGTACAGGCTTTCACGGTCCCCTTCAATAGAAGGGCAAGGTAAGCGGTGTAGCGGCGAGGAAGCTGGGGCAAGACGCATTTCCACAGTTCAGCTTTTTTTTTTGTGTGTTGCCGTTGCCTCTTTGTTTCTGTGTGTGCGTGTGTGTGTGTAAAAATAGTTTTGGGCGAGGTATTAATAGCCCAGCGCTGAAGGAAGAAGCAGCAGCATCCCGGCTTTCATTTACCTCCTGCCCTTTGGGACCTGATCCTTTCAATAATTGAATTCTTCTCTACTTTCATTGCCTTTTGCGAGCTCGTCTCCTTTTTTCCTGCACAATCTACGCATTATCAAAATGCAGAAAGGGCTTTGGCTTGTGTGGAGCCGAATGATGGGCGGGGAGGCAGGGCAGGGTAAGGGCATTGCAATAGAACACTGAGAGCGAGAGAGTCAGTGGCAAAGGCAGAGCCACAGAGGGAGAGCTGGTGAGCGAGCGAGAGATGTAGAAGCCAAGTGCAGTGGCAGCGCAGTAGGCAGCGAGAGCAGCTGTGAAAAGAGGCAGAGGCGTCGCGTCTAGGAATTACATGTATATTTTTTTTTGTTTTTTTGCTGACTAGTTTTTTGTGTTCTGCTTTTTGTTGTTGTTGCTTCGATATCCATTAATCAACATGTGCGTGCATCGTATGTACACACATACACACACACACACACACGTACACGAACATCGCTGCGTCACAACAAAAACAATGGCAAAACAGCTGTTTTGCTTTCGTCATTCTTTTAGCGGAGTGGGGGATGGCGAAAAATTAAAGAATGAAAATACCAAAAACCGGAAGCTGAAAGATGAATATGCTCTCCCTTCTATTGCTCCTTCCTCTCCTCTCATCTCCTCTCCTCCTCATCTACTTCTCTTCTATCGGGCAAGTCGCTGTCGCAGCCTCTTGTTCTTTTTATTTTATTGCAAATTATTATTTTGGGTTATGACTGAGTGTGGCTAGTGCCATCCCGCTTGCACTTTAGTTAGCTGCAGGCTCTTCTTCGTCGGGTCGATAACGGCACAAGGGAGGTCGGTCGGTCTACAGCCACTCTCTCCCTCTCTCTTTCTATGTCATCGTCTTCGTCGTCGTCGTCCTGTATTCTCCTCCGTGTGCAGCAGGTGTGCAAAGGGGAGACTGCAAAAAGAACAGCTAGATACAGGGAGTGAGAGAGGGATAGCAGGAAGATTGATCTTCAATGGCCGACAGGTCGGACATGTTTATTTATTTTTTTTTTTTGACAAGAAAGGAAATTGAGTTTCCCAGTTTTCCCACTATGTACTTACCACTGATAACATCTCCCATCTTCTTACCCACAGAGCGCTCATCGAACGCATTTTCCTCAGACACAGGCGCCCTCTGGCTGCCCTTCCAGACCGCAGCTGGCACTGTGACAACACTTTACAAAGGTATGTAGTGTAGCCCTCCCCCCAAATGATATATTTGTACATATTGATTACCCATCCATGGTAAATAATACTCTCCATAATAATACACCTTGCAGAATCATGTGATGGTCTCAAGCGCACCAGCGATGCTGCTGTACAGTGCGGATATCAACGTCGCACACGTGAGCTAGCAGACTGGGCTCGCAGCAAAAAACGTCGCATGATACGCCGCGAGGATCTATTGGCCTATCTAGCCGGAAAACCGATGCCGCCATCCAACACAAATCCACATGCCAATCGTCGGTGAGTCCCCCGTAGCAAGCTCGAGAGCATCGTCCATTTATAACTTAACCAAATCCCTTCCTCGGTCTCTCTCTCTCTGTGTCTCTAGGTCACCAAAACCAGAGCATAACCAGGGCGGTGGCGGCGGACATTTTTCGACCAGCGGCGGACCAGGCTCTGGCCTGGGCTTTCTTGGCTCTGGCCTGGATCTGCCCGGTGGCCCACTGACAGGCGCTTCGGGACAGCCAACGCATTTGTTGTCGCCAGCCGGAGCTGGCGCACAGGGCGGTGGTGGTGGTGGCGGCGGCTGTGCCCCAGGAGCCCCAGGCATCGGTGATGATTTGCACACCTTCAAGGAGGCTTTGGTTTTGCGCCCACGGTGAGTCCAACAAAACTCCATTTTGCTTGTAAATTTCCTTACTAATCTAATCTCTTATTTTGTTGTTGTTGTTGTGTTTTTTCAGTGGCCCGGAACTATTTGCATTTGTTGCCAATGAAATAGCGCGCCACTGCAAGCGTCCCGGCAGTCCCATCGACGATAAAATGGATATATGCCACTATAGCAGTAAACGCCAGCGCTTCATGTAAACCCATCGTTCAATAAGCCATTATCCCATTATCCCAAACATAACAACCCATCACCAACATACCCCAACAGTCCACTGTTTAAGTCGTGATCAGGAAGTGTAGTAAAATCGGCATTATTATTGGATAGAAAGAAGATTAACTATAGAAGGGGGGACGAGTTTTGAAAACACACAAACGTGAATGTTTATTTTTTGTTTTTTTTTTTTTGTTTTTTTGCAAATTCTATTTGCAACATCCTTCGCCCCACACACACACAAACACACTTGAACCAACTTATGTATATGTATGTGCAGACACTTACACGAGGTTAAGTTAGGTTTTAGTTGCTAGTTCTTAAACAAAACATAAAATACTACAATGTCTGCAATGATTTTTCACACCGACGATGCAATGGTGCAACAGACGCAGAATTTGTTGCACACAGCTGCTATTTGTTCCGTCGAAACAGCTATGGAAACACAGCTCTCTTGACGAAAAGGAAAATGAATTGATTAAGATGAAATATTTTTGGAGGCCAGCTGTGTGTCTAATTTAATTAAATTTGAGCTAAGCGAGTAGATATTGTTGAGGCGGCGCAGGCAGGACTGTAGATAATGTATTGTAAAATACTTTTAGCGTGGAAATGCAGCTGTGTAAATATCGTAACTAGATACCCAGAAAATCACCAACACCCCACAAAACAGAAGCCGATTGAAAAGAAAAAAAAAAAAAAAATTAGCAACAGAACACCATAAGATAGATATCCCCCTCCTCCAATCAGTTATATAAATATGTATGCGACTTAAATGAAAAAAAAATATTATTAGCCGATTATATACTATACGAATATAAATCATACATAAATATTTTTTTTTTTTTTGCTTGTTCGTATAGGAAATCGCCCACTCAGCCACATTCTCCCCCTTCCTAGACCACCATCCGCTAAAGGAAGGATCTCCACGCCAAGTACTCTGGGCGTGGTGGTGTCTCTGCCCCAAAAGCCACATACAAAAAAAAAAAATAAAAATAAAATAAAAATTCCACCTAAATGAAATTTAAATGAGAAAAAGAAAAACAAAAACAAAAAACTACAAGAATTACTTATGCGCATGGAAGGCATATTAAACAACAACAACAAATCAGGCAGAATATATGATATATAGAATCTGTGTGTGTTTTGGTGGTGTATCCCCGCAAGTTGTAGCTAGCCAGGTTATGCCTACCATACACACACACACACACACACACATAACATACAATACATCTATTTATACATACATATAGCTATGTATGTGAATAGCATACGATGATGTAACACACACAAAACACAACACACACACACCAAACACACTTCTGATCTATTCAGAATATGTAACACACACACCACACACACCAGACACAAACGCAAATTACTAAGCGAAGAAAAAAATTGGAAAGGCTAAGAGAAAGGAGGAAGAGGAGTATCACAGACAGACAGACAGAGAGAGAGAGAGAGATGAGATGAGATGGTGGCAAAGTCAAGCGGAAGCAGAAGTCCTATGAGAATAATGAAATGTAATTATATGTACTAAAACTTAAATAATTATTACAAAACAAAACAAAAAAAAAAAAACAACAACAAAAAAACGAAAGCAAAAAACCATACAAAAAATACAGCGTGACCGGAAGCAAAAATTATAAGTTAAATAAAAATAAAAAAAAAAATGATGAAAAAAAAAAACGCAAAGGTTCATTTTATTGGCTATACAATTGGACAATGATTTGGGCAGCTGAGTCGGTTCCAAGGATCCAACAACAACAACTACATACACAGTCTCTGGCAACGGTGCACAAGTCGGTCGTTGCTTGGACAAGGAGATAGTAAACGGTACAAGCGAAAGGAGTCGTCCAGCCAGGAGAAGGAGATGGCTCCTAGAGGAAAGCAGCAGACCAGATAAGCCTGAAAATATTTCTAATTTTTTGTATGCCTCGGAAGTGAATCCTTGGAATGAAAACTGCAGCATATTGTAAATTGAAATTGCTATGCTTTTTTGTTTGTATTTATTTCGTATTTCATTAATATTAGTTGCATTTTGTATATATCATGTGTGTGTGTGTGTGTGTGTGTGTGTGTGTCTGTGGTGTATACATATATGTATACATGCATACATACATATGTATAATTTTACTTTATTTTTTCGTTTGTAGACTGCTTCAAAGCTGGCGAATAATGTAGTTATGGTATTGAAGGTTCTCTCGAATGTCCCGAAACACGAGACTAAATCCCAACTAAAATCCCAGTTTAGCAGCTCATTTGTTCATGTTACCCCATAATGGCACAGTGCGTTTCACAGTTGCCTGACGGGGGGGTGGGGCTTTGGGTTGTTGTTGTTGCGTGATTGTAGACCAGACCTTCGTTGCTTAGGCAGCTGCTAGGGAGCGCCCTAAAAGAGCTGTGCCCATATAAATTAATTATAATATGCCATACACCAATTTAACTAAAATCTGGTTAAATAATTAATATATCACCGTTTTTTTCTAATAAATCCTTGGTTAATTAAACGCTTAAGATTCTGTATCATGAATGGTTGAATTTGTAACTTGAAAGAGTTGGCTAAACGGTACGAATGGATTTCAATATATAGTTAACTAATAGTTAAAGTTTGTAGCGAGTTCATCGGTTGAAAAGGATTCACAGCACTCGATTACTGATTTACATGATGATGTTCGTCTGGGTTCATTTCTTTTGAAGGCAGATTCTAATTTGAGACAATTTATCAATCAAATATCTTTTATGCAATTAAACCTATTATTGTGATTAAATTCGGAGACATCTATTAGATTTTTTTCAGCTAATATTTCTGTATGTTATCATCGATAAGAAACTACTTCTGCTGAGGATCTGCTCTTGCTCTCTCTCTCGTCATGTCGGTCCAGTTTAGCACAAAGTGAAACGCACTGCATGTGCCCCACACACAGTCGATAGAGCAATGATGAAATTGTGTGCCAGTTGCAGCTCTCTAAGTACATATACACATGAATCGAACAAAAATATATATATATAACTATTTTTTGTTGTTTTCATTATTAGTTTTTGTTTTTAGTTCATACACAATTTTTAGGTTTTTGGTTTGTTTGTTCAACAACAGCAACAGAAACAAGGAGGAGGTGGAGCAGCAGCAACCTTGTTGCTCCCAAACATACACATAGTACGATCTACGCACGGATCGTGGCATAAACAAACAGCTTAACAATGGGGTGGGGGGTTCAGAACAAGCAAGAACGAGGTGTGCTGGTGTGGGGGCCAGCAAACAATTAAACTATGGAATATAGAGTATACATATATATATAGAGCAGGAACGGGGCGGGGGTATCAAACAGTTTAACTATTGCATTTAGTAAGATCTCTCTCTCTTTTCTATATATCGATCGATCGTACTTGTATGTATTTTATATTTATACTCATTCGTTTTGTTTTTTTTTTTTTGTTGTGGGTTTCTTTTTGTAATGTACTAAATACATTGCGTGGTTTATTTAAATACATATGGATATCTTTCATCATACTGTATGTGTATATATATATATATATAGCATATATACATATATATGTATATATAATTCATTTGATTTACTTAATTGCTATGCGTGTGTGCCGTTTTTTTTTTTTATATTTTAAACAAAAATAAAATATATTTATAAGACCCTCTGGTGTCAGGGTGCTGGATTGGTAACGGGAAGGAACAAGGCGGTTAAGACTGTTGCGTGTGAGATGGGGATGTGTGTGTGTGTGGGGGGGCTGATAGAGATAGTTTAACAATAAACTAAAAATTGGTATGTAATGCCGTCCTTTAACGATACTATACGTTTTTTGTTTTGTTTTGTTTAGTTTAGTTTGCTTGCTCATCTGCGGAATGTCCTTTGCATGCACACGTGTGACGTGGTGACTCTGGTGTAAGTACTCAAACAATTTGAATCACTTTCACTTTAGTTATTTTCTTTTTTGTTTTTGTTTTGCAGCTAGCATGTTGCATTTTTTTGTGCCTATAAAATTGGTTTAACAAATTACAATTGCCGAATATTAACTTCCATTACAATTATTATGAATTATCATGCGTTTTCCCTCAAACAATTCCTTTACACAATTAACAACCAGGCTAAATAGTTTGCTACCAAAATCCCCTCTCTCCCTTCACCAATATTCTACGCTACACCATTCAGAGGGAGACGGGTAGCGTAGAGCAGAGCGGTGTCCTGCCCCTGTGAGTGGCAGACAAGAGAGAAAGAGGGGACACTAATACACAATTTCCATTAATTAATGTATATATATATAAAAAAAAGGCTAACTTTAACGTTTTTCTCTATGCGCTGAATGCCTCTCGGTTCAATTTTTCTCTTATTGGTCGTCGTCGTCGTTTCCCATTGCCAAAATGAAAAAAAAATATAATCCAAATAATGAATGTCCCAACAAATGATAGTAGGTGGTGATAATTTAAAGCGCTGCAGAAGATCCTATGACAGAAGAAGGGAGGTCGGTCGCAACAGCAACAGCAGCAGCAGGCGGCAGCAGGTGGAGAGCAGAGCTGCAGCCTAAAACTGCACCCAGTTGGCATTTGCCGAGTTCTGTTGTCCTTGATTGCCCCTGAAACGGTGCAACAAAAACAAATGAGCACGGATTAGGATTACAGAGAGAGAGAGAGAGAGTGCGAGAGAGAGCGAGACTCACCCAGCTGATGCATAGTCGGTCCACTCGGAACCACCGCCGGATGGTCTGTGGGCTGGCGAGACGCCAGGACTTGTCCGAACCGTCGCACCGGGCGAAGCCGCGGCTGCTGGTGGTGGCGCTATCTTGCCCAAGCCACCGGGCGGCGGTGGCAGTACGCCGCTGTTGCCCTTGTTCTTGCCAGTTCGGGAGGGGCCGTCAGAGCCGTCCTTTTTCTATATAAAAAAAAAAAAACGACAAACATGAGTGGGGAACAGCCCTTATGAATTTGGGGTTTGGTTTAAGGAGCACAGAGCACCTACCGTTATCCTCATATTAATCTTGATGGTTTCCCCCTCCTTGAAGCCCAGATCCAGCTCCTGCTTGGGCTCGGTCTTTTCTTTTTCGATCTGCTCTTGGTTCTTCACCCACTTGAAGTGATCCTGCAGCGCCACATTCAGGTCAAATGAGTCGGAACGATCGCCAAAGCCCAGGCCCAAGAAGGCCGACCTTCCATTGTCGTCTTGGACACGTATGACGAAATAACGGGAACTGTCGGAGACTGCTTCGATGGCCACGCCGGGATATGTATCGATGGGGCAATTGGCGAAGAGGGCGCCGCTGGTCTTATCCTCCAGCTTCAAGATGCAGGCCGTGCCCTTCGCCACAAGTCGCATCCTACCCGTCCAGGTGGGTTCCTTTAGGTTCCAGTCGGCGGCCCTGCAAAAACGAGAGATTGGAGAAAATCAGTGATGAGATGCATGGAAAGTAAGCAACAAAGAAATCAACACCAGCAGCAGCAACAACACACACGCAAATGATGGAGCTTTTGTCAGAGGTAGATGGGTAGGGGGTGGGGGGGCGTTCGAATACGTGTAAGTGAAAATGTACAGTAATTAAGCAAAAAGCATAGAGAGCAGCTGTAAAAAATCAATTGGAAATGAACTTCAAAAGAGAAGAACAGCAACAACAGCAGTAACAACAACAACAACAAGCATAATTTATGCACTCTCACGCAGTACACACACTTGCAGCACACACACCCACACACACGCAGAGATGCCCCAGATGTGGGGGCGTCTCTTTGGTTGCAGGGGAAAAACTTTCAATTTAGAATAAAACACGGTAAAAGCAAAAGAAAAAAAGCAGTAGTCACTTTTTCTTCCTATTGTTGTTGCTTGACTCACCTATAGCCTCGATTGCTCGCCCGCGGTGGTATTTTATATATGAAAACCTCCGGTTTGACAATCAGCACGCTCTCGTATTCCATGGTTTTTGTTTAAAAACTTCACTATTTTTGATTTTGTTTATTATCTGAAATTCTGCCAAGTGTTTTTTTTTTTGTAAGCTTTTAAGCTTACCAACTACACTGATAACGATAATGCATTTTGGGCCACACACACTCGATGTATCGCTTAGAGCCGTCTGTCTGCCGTGTCTATCGATGATTGAGTTTTGCCATCTGCAGTATTTGGGCCTTGCCAAGCACTGGATAGGGGGGCTAAACAAAATTGTTTAAAATTGATTTTGCATTAGTTTGGCATTTGGCATAGTGCAAAATGCTGCCCGAAATAAATATTACCAGTGACAGTGACCTGGATACTGTGCTGGATGACTTCAAGCATAAGGTGGAGCGGCGCAATAGTGCTGGCACGGCCAAGTACACGTGCAGCATTGAAAAATGCGGGGCCACATTCAAGCGTCTCGACCAATTGGATCGGCACGAGTTCCACCACACGGGCAAAGTAAGTGCGACCGAACGAATAACATATGGAAATTCAACTATTATAACTTTTGCAGAAGAAGCATGCCTGTTCGTATGAGGGCTGTGACAAGACCTACTCAATTGTCACCCACTTGAAGCGGCATCTGCGCAGTACCCACGAGCGAACCGAGGATGCCGCACAGAAAAACGTCAAATGCACAGTGCTCGAGTGCACCAAGATGTTCACCTCCGGCAGCAACATGCAGCGGCATGTGCGCGAGGCCCACGACAGTCCCAGGGTGTATCCATGTGGCCACTGCCCGGCCAAGTTCTCGCAAAAGTTGAAGCTGAAGCGGCACGAGATTCGGGAGCACACTAAGGACTATCCGTATCGCTGCAGTAAGTGCAGCCGCGGCTTCTACCAGGACTGGCAGCGTGAGAGCCATCAGGAAAGCTGCAAGCTGTACTCGTGCCCCGGCTGTGAGCTGCAGTTTGACAAGTGGACGCTCTACACGAAGCATTGCCGCGACACGCTGCATGGACGGAGCCGGAACAAATGCGAGCACTGCGAGAGCAGCTACGCCAAGCCCAGCGATCTCAAGCAGCACATGGAGGCCAAGCACAAGGACACTGCGGGCGCATTTGCATGCACCGAGGCGGGCTGCACTCGCACCTATTCGTATGAGCGTAATTTGCGCCAACACCGTCTGGCGGCGCACTCTGGCAGGCGTTTTGAGTGTCAGGCCATCGACTGCGGACGCTGCTTCAGCAGTGCCCAGAATCTGTCCAAGCATCTGGCACGAGATCACAGCGAAGCAAAGGCGAAGGTTGCAAAGACCAAATCAAATTCAAAGACACGCAAGCGTCGTCGCGACGCTGGCCGCACCAAACATTCCAGGTTGTCCAAGCTCGCCTGCCTGCAGCTTTCAAAGGATGTCGATGAGGAGGTGCGTCAACGCAAGTCGCACGCTTTGAAGAGAGTCGCTGAATCTTTGGCCGAGAAGCAGGAGGATGAGGAGCCCTTGCAGCAGCTGATTAGCGCGACTCTTCAAGACGTGGAGGAGGAAGTGGAGTAATTAGGCGCACCTTTCGTTTAATTATTTATTAAACAAAATGTTCAAAACACAAAAAAAATGCTCGATGCGTGGGGGGAAAGAAGTAGGAAGTGGCGGTGTGTGGGACGCAATGTACATTACAGGGAATTGATAACCTTCCGGCTGCGCATCTGTTTCAGCCAATGCTCATACTGCTGCTCGGGTGTCTGTGGCTCCTGGTAGTAGTGCTTGGGCGGCTGTCCCTCCTCCAGCCGCACAAAGTAGTGACAATGCTTGTACTCCACCTGGCCGAAGCGACCGCGCGCATGTCGTCGCATCCCCTTGAAGACACGGCCCTTGCCCACAAATGATTCGGCTGCATAGAGTGGAGGGTCAGTCGGTTAAGTTGGATGGATTCTTTCCAATGTGTGTGTGGGCGGCTGGCCTTACCTATCCACAGATTGCTTTTGTATTCCACATTGTGCCGCTGTACGGCCATCTCCTGTGCCTCCAGTATGGTCTCCTTCACATCGGTGGCACCTTTCTTGAGCACAAAGTTCAGCTGCTTGAGGGCCTCGTCCACGGACATGCCCCGCACAAATGCCGCTATATACCACATCTTGTCCGGGCTGTATTTGATATTGGTGCGCATATGACACACGTACTGTAAAAACGGATTGGAATGAGAGTGGATTAACCCAGCAATGGGAATTGTATCGCATTTACCGCCTTGCGTGGCTCCTCGTCCGGCTGCTGGGGCGGATGCACTGTCTTGTTGTACACCAGCCATTTACGCGGCCCATGATTGTGTTTGTTCCAACTTGCGCACAGTGCTCCGCCAGCCGTGTGCAGGCTTTGGTGAGGGGCGGCAGGTGATGCTGTGGATGAGGCAGTCGTCTTGAGCAGCGTTGAGCTCGGCAACGCTTGCAGCCTCAGCTGCGACATTTGCCTTATCACTTTATGCATGACCGACTATTAAGGTTTCCAATTTAAATAAAATATAAAATCGAAAGAAATCGCGTAATCTACCAGTGCGAGCGGGGGGAGGTGCCAGAGGCTAACAGCTTGCTGAACACTGGCCACACCAGCTGTTCATATCGATATCAAATGAAAGTCGATGAATGCAAATTATATTGTGGGAAACTAACGATAATTTTATTATTAATTATAAACTATTTTTAATCAGGGTGCGTATAAAATTATTATATTTTTTTCCCGAAAAAATCCCGAACTTAAAGTAGCCGCACAGAATAAATAAATATACCAATACACTGCTCTAGGAATAAACCATGCAAATCTACCAAAAATTTTAAATTTTAAGTTTTTGAGTTAATTATTCTTGATAATGAATATTTTTATTTATTATTATTAAAAATTATCCATTATAATTATGTTTCAGCAAAAAAATATAAAACACAAATATAATGATTAAATTTTGAGTTATATATTTTTTTGCTAAAACATAATTATTATGGATAATTATTAATAATAAAAATAAAAAGGTAAAGCATTAAAGTCTCTGCTCTCAACCAAGTTAAGAAATTAAGGGATAATTATTAATAATAAAAAAAAAAAATTATTGTTGTGTGATTTTTAAAATATAGCTCATAATGATTAAAGTCTCTGCTCTCAACCAAGTTAAGAAATTAAGGGGTATTTGAAATTCGAATTTCTTTAAGAAGAACATATCCGCCTGCAACTGATCCGGCAGTCCTTCCTCAACCTGCAACTGATCTGGCATCCCCACACCACACTAAACGGTAAATTTCAAATCACGTGCTTTTCCCCTTCTTGCAGTTGCATTTCATTTCATTTGTTAATTGTAAATTTGTCCATTATTCAGTGTTTATTTGTGAAGAATGAAATTACTAATTGCCTTCGGGCTGCTCTGCCTCTGCCCCATTCGCATTGGATGGTGCCAGTCGACGGACAAAAAGGCGGAGATTGCCAAACTGCGCAGCGAACTGAGCGTCGCCTTGGAGGCGAGCGATGGGGGACCGGTAAGTGGTGTGACTCCTACAGCGGCCTTAATTGTGCTATTAATCTGTCCTGCTGCAGCCAGGAGTCATCACACAGCCGGTGTGGACTAAGCAGGCACAAGGCGCCCCCATCCCAGCCACGGCCGGCAAAGTGATTGTCAATCAGGCGGCCCTGCGGAGCGCTGCTGCCGTTCGAGACGAGATCAAGAAGGCGGTGGCCCAGCAGGGCCATACCCAGGAAGTGCTGGAGCTGGATGCGGCTGTCCAGGCGGCGAGCAAGGCCCAGGCGGGCTCCACCTTGGGCGGTGCTCGCCAGGAGATGCTGGGCACGAGCCAGGACTCCGAGGACGGGCAGCAGCCCAATGTGGTGGAATCGAGTGTGAACACGCCCGGCATTGACTTGGAGCAGTTGCAGCGCCTCGAGCTGTCGAAGCGTCGGACCCGCGACCTGCTTGTGCTCAGCGGCATCGAGGAGGACTCACACTTCGCCCTCGGCTCGGATGTGGACCAGTGGGTGTCCGTGCAGGCCAATGGCAGCGCCTATCTTGTGGGCTTGCAGCCCGAGGGCTTCCTGGTGCTCAACGGTGACTTTTCGCCGCTGCAGACGGTGCCGCTGTTGGCTCCCATTGACGCAATGCTCAGTCTCGAGCGTTGGAGCGGCCGCACCCACTTGCAGGAGGGTCTGCTGGTGGTGGCCACGCAGCAGCAGCTTCTTTGGCACCGCCTTGAGCCGGGAAGGGGCCTGGTGCCCTTCTGGCACTGGCCCCTGGGCAGCCAGGCCTCTAGGCTATCGATCTTCAGCCTGGAGGGCCGCGACTTCATTGTGCTGGCCGGAAATCGCACCCTCAGCGTCTACTCGTACGATTTGGAGGCGGAGGAGTTTTGGATCGCACAGCGCCTGCAGTTGCCGGAGGCGATAACAGCCGTGGCCGTGCTGGACACTGGCCGGGAGCTGCTGCTAGCCGTGGGCCAGACGGACCAGGCCCTCATCTATGCCTACAATCCGCGCGAGCGTCCGCTTGGGGATGCGGGGCTGCAATTGCAGCTGCATCAGCGTTTGCCAGCGCCCCAGGTGGCGTCCATTGCCGCCTTCCAGATGGGTGGACGCAGCTACCTGGCCTTGGGCGGACAGCGACCCCAGATTCTGGCCCATGTGCAGGGTCAGCTCGTGCCCCGCACCATTCTGGGTCAGAATTTTGGCTTTGTGGAGCACTTTCTGCCGGTGGCGGTGCGCAGCTATCGGGATGATCTCTTGCTGCTCGTACAGCATCGCGTCACCTTTGACACTCACACGCTGCTCGTCCTGGAGGTACTCATTTGGACTGGGGAGGCCTTCGAGGCGGGCCTGCCGCCGCCGTGCGGCATTGGCAGCCCACCGAACCACATTACGCACGGTGCCGGCTGCATGCTCGACCAGGAGCGCGAGGCGGGCCTGATTGGTGCAGCGCTAATCCGGCAGCAGGATCAGCCACCGCTGCTGCTGGTGCCACGTCGTCAGGCACCGTCGGGTCTCTTTCGGCTGCAAACGCAGCTGCTGCCACGGAATTCGGAGACAAAGGATCTGCAGGAGATACACCAGTTCATGCGCGAGTGGGTGGAGGAGCAGGAGGCAATCATACGCCTAGTCGAAGCGCATCTGCGCACGCCCCTGCCCTCGGAGGAGCAGTTTGAGGAGATTCACACGCCGCAGGTGATCAACGAGGGCGGCGACATCCGGGAACTGTACGTTAACGATGCCCGCTGGACGGCCGAGGATGCGGCCATCGATCTGAGGCAACTATTGCAACAAATACGACTGCTCGAGCGGGAATTGCAGGCAGCAGCTCCGAGGCGGCCCAAACGTCAGCCCGAGACGCTCTACAACTTTCACTACGATCGCCTGGAGGTGGACAGCGTCGAGGCGGATGTGCTCGTTCTCGACCAGCTGAATCACGTGCCATTCTACGTGCAGAACAAGTCGCTGCTCTTGCCCGCTGGATCGCTCAATGTGCAGCGCTTGGAGCTGCTGCAATTGCCCACCGAGCAGCTGCACTCCGAGGGAACCGAGTCGCATCAGCGCCTGCAGCTGGACGGCAATCTGGCGTGCGAGACCATCAACGGCTTGGCCTGGAGCCAACTGCTGCAGGATCTGGTGTGGCGTCATCGGCCACTGCAGCTCTCCCAGCTGCATGTACAGGGCGTGAGTGGCTCCATGACTCCATTCTGTGGGGTTTTTGCCACACCTTCATTTTGTTTTTCCTTTTCCTTGTCATCCGCCAGGCTGTCGTATTCGAAGATGCGCTGCATCTGAGCTCGCTGAATGAGCTGCGTTTCCCCGAGGATTACCTGTGGTCACAGGGCAATGGCACCACCATTGTCCAGGCGCCCAAGGAGTTCACACAGACCCTAAGTAGCTACCTGCCCTGCCCTTCCCTTCTGTTTTGTTGCCCCTAATAATGCCCTTGGCAATCATTGCAGCCGCCAATGTCGTGGACACGACAGGAACGATCAATGAGGTGCGACCGGAAGATGCCATCAGCCTCAGCGATGCCCAGGATTGGCCTGGTCTTGTGACCTTCGCCCAGCTGGAGGTATCCGAGGAACTGGAGCTCAATGGGAGTGCCCAGGGCAGGCAGTTCGAGGAGGCGCCGCTGAATCCCACTCTGCTGGAGACGCGTCACATCCGTGCCGCCGACTGCCATTTCGTGCAGCTTTTCGTCCAGGGAGCGCTCCACTTGCGTGGCCAGCTGGACAACAGCAGCTACGACTCGCTGCTGGGCGATCTCGTGCAGCGATCGCCAGATGCCAGCCAGGAGCTGCTGGTTGCGGGCGCCAAGCGTGTCCTTGGGCAGCTCCAGTTGCCAGTGGACGCCCATGTGGCGGATGGCAAGCTGAGCGGCATACCCTTGGAGCACTTTGTGACGAAACACACCTCGCAGCTGCTCCGCAATCTGACGCAGCTGCCTGGCTATGTGTACTTCCATCGGCTGCAGCTGGCGGCAGGCGGCACCTACGATGGCGTCCATTTGGAGCAACTTCTGGCCGAATCCCTGCGCCTGGATGGCCCCTCCCTCCGTGCGCCCGGCACTCGCTTACGTTTCGTGGGTCCCCCACCCGATTTGGCCGCTGGACTGCGGCTGGAGCACAGCCTCAATCAGGTGCCGCTGGCCAGTGGCTATCAGACGCTACGCGAGCCCCTCCACCTGCGACGCGCCAGCTTCCAGCGCGTGGAGGCCGCACAGGCGCAAGTTTCGGGCGATGTGATTGCCTCGGCAGCGGGTTTGGGGCTGCTCAATGGCCGGCCACTGGGCGACATGCTGCAGGAGGAGCCACATAGCTGGTCGGGCGAGGTGAACGTACAGGAACTGATCCTGCCGCATGGTGTCCAGGCGCAGCAGCTGCAGGGCATACGCGCGGATCTGCTGCTCGACTTTCTGCAGCAGTTGGACGAGCTGCCGCTGCTCATACTGCAGGGACAGCTGCAGGTGGAACGGATAGACGTCAGCGGATCGGTGCAGGTCGAGGGTCCGCTCAACGGTCGAAGCCTGGACCAGCTGCAGCGGGAGGTGATCTGGCTGGATCGCAGCAACGAGATGCGAACGCGCTGGCGCCTCCAGCAGCCGCCAGTGTTCGCCAGCGACCTGCACATCCGCGGCAGCTTCAACGAGCGACTGCTGCCCGAGCTGCTCGACGACATTGTCTTCCGCTCGGATGTGGCCGGGGATGTGGTGGTCATTGAGGGCACCAAGAGCTTCGCTGCGCCGCTAAGCGTGGCCGGCGAACTGCATCTGGAGGCGCTAAACGGTGTGCCCTTCGAGCGGCTGGCCAACAGGCGTCAGCCCCTGAATCTCACTGGCAATGTGCGTCTGCAGGGTCGCCTCCATGCGGCTGAAGTGCAGCTGCAGGGCTCGCTGAACAACGATCCGCTGGCCATGACTCGGCTGGCGCAGCTCCTGCACTGGGATCCCGCGTGGCAGAGCTTTGTGCAGTGTGGTCGTGTGGTGCCGCTGCCTGGCGGTGCATCGATGCAGCTGGAAGATCTCACGGTGCTCGGTCACTTGGGAAATCTCAGCGAGGAGCCGCTGCAGCAGCTCTTCGAGCAATTGATATTCAAGCAGCATGCCCACATCCGTGTCGGGGGTCACAAGGTATTCACGGGACGCGTGAGCATCCCAGAGGGCGCTCACATTCAACAGCTAAACGGCCTCGATCTGGAGCAGCTGCTCAGCCAGCTGATCTTCATCGATGGACAGCAGCACGAGGCTGTTACTGTGCAGACACCCGTGCACTTTGCGGCGCCCGTGCAGGCGGATCAACTGCTGGCCGAGCGTCTGCTGCTGACGGGGCAACTCCTGAATGGCTGCAATGTCAGCGAATGGCTGCTGGACACTGTGCGCGTGGATCGCGACTGGCCGGCGCCACAAGGTGAGTACAGTACAAGAGGGAGCCTGACCTGATCCCCCCCACTAATCCCACAGTTCCCCTCACCTTTGCCGCGGGCTCACTGGACTACAATGGCTTGGAGGTGGAGCAGCTGAACAGCGTGAATCTGTCACGTCTGGTTACCCTGCACACGGAACAGCAGCTGCTGGAGCCGCTGCTGGCAGTGGAACTGCTGCTGGATGGCGTCATGACGGTGCAGGGGCTGGTCAATGGCCGCAATCTCAGCCAGGAGTATGCCAATACCCTGATGGTGAGTGGCGTGCGAATCGGCATACATCTGGCCAAGTGAATGTTTTGGCTGCTCTTTCAGATCAATTCGTTGGAGCAGTCGCAGACAGTGGAGACGCCCCTGCTGCTGGCGGGCATCCATGTGCGGGGACCGGTGCAGGTGAATGCGCCCCTCAATGGCGATGCCAGCCTCAATCTGAGCGATGTGGCCAGTCTGGCGGAGCCACAGCTGCGGCTGCAGTCGCCGCTGTACTTCAGCAGCCTGCATGCGCCCGAGCTGAGGGCCAGGCAGCGGCTCAATGCCTTCGATTTCGTAGACTGGCACGAGCGGAGTCTGTGGGCGCGCGGCAGGGCTGAGCAGACCATTACGGGCAACTGGCGGGTGAAGCAGCTCAGGGTCAAGCAGGGCGACATTAGAAACCGCCGCCAGACAATGGCACAAATGGAGGAGCAGTACCGCCAGCTATGCCAGCGACTCTCTCAGATGTTCGGCTCCCTCCGTCTACCCTACCAGGTGCAGAAGCTGAGGCGCAGCTTCACGCTGCGGCAGCCCAAGCGGAACGAGGATGTGAGGCGCATCTTTGGCCTGGAGGCTGGCCGCAAAGCTGGCATTTATCTGCTGATAAACGAGAGGGGCTGCTGGACGCGCATTCATCGCTGGAATGGCACGCGTTTTGCCCATGCCGGCGCCTTTCAGAGCGGACCCGTCGACGAGGTGATTGGCCTTCAGCTGCGCAACAACAGTGGACGCGACTTTGCCTTTATGACCAGCCACGAGATGGATGAGGGAGAGCACGAGTCCGCCTGGAATTGCACGGCAGCCGCCAGCCTACTGCAGAGCTGGCAAACGGATGAGGAGCAGGAGGAGACGGAGCCGCTGGCGATACCAGTGGAGACGCTTCAGGGTCTGAAGGAGCAGCAAGAGGAGCTGCAGAAGCGTCCGTTGCCCAGCTATCAGGAGGCCATCAAGTACCTGCAGCGTCCGGCCGTCGAGTCCGAGCTGGGACCACATTGGGGTCGCCGCAAGCAGATCGGGCCGGAGGAGCTGCACGCGCTAAGGCGACGCCTGCTGGAGACGCTCAGCTTTCGGCTGCAGACCGAGGTGAATATCACGCAGCTGAGCATACCCGAGAGCGATCTGTACGACGACCAGCTGGTCGAGGATTTTCTGCAGTTGATGCAGCAGCTGAAGGGCTTCCGAGCGCGCCTCCGCACGGACACGCTGCCCCTGCCCGACAGTCCGGCCCGGGTGCTGGCCGCACGCAGTGCCCAGCTCATTTGGCCCGTGCTGCAAGAGCTGCGAGAGATTTCCGGTGCTGGCGGATCGGGCGCCGACAAGGAGGAGCTGGCCCTGGAGGAGACCCTACTGGATGTCCTCGAGGTGGCCAACAACGGGACAAGCAGCAGCAGCAGCAGCCTCGGATCTGATCAGACGTTGCAGCTGCATGCGGTAATTGGCAGACTGCGCCAACTGCAGGAGCAGCTGCAGCGCACTCATGGCGAATCGATGGCCTCTGCCGCCAGTCGTGCGTCCGAGCAGACGCTGCCCCATCCGACGCTGCAATGGCGGCCAGTGCAGACCCTGCGCCTCCTTGTGGGCCCCAAGAATCGTTCGCGGCTGCTCTATGCACGCCTCGCCCTCTTGGACACGCCCGAGGGTCGAGGGTCGCCAACAACACCATCGACGGCGCCGCCCGCCCACATCCAGCTGCACCATGCCAACGGCTCGCTGTTCCAGTCGCTGGCCGCCGACCGTCAGGCCAGGCAGCTGACCGCCCTGCGGGTGCGGGACGAGACGCTGCTGGCCTTTGTCGAGGGCTGCTGCCAGATACGCGTCTTCGTCTACCGCGGAGTCCAGGGCTTTGTGCCCTTCACCCACTTCCGCGCCCACAAAGCGACGGAGGAGTCGCCAGTGGTGCAGCTGCTCGCCCTCCGCCTGCCGCTTCAGCGCCCACCCGGAGCAGTCTATGCTCTGGCCGTGGCGCAGGCCCGGCGCATAACCTTCTACGAGCTGGTCATCGCCGGCCAACTGGAGCCATGGCTCAAGTGCAATTAACTGGCACGCATTTATGTTACTCGCATCTAGATGATGATGGAGCAGGAGGAGGAACTCCTTCGTTGTCAGCTCTAAGGTCTGATTGGATCTTTCAGTAGTTGTTGTGAATTGTAAGCAAAGTTATAAGAGCTATAGGCAATATATATTATATTGTAAATTGTATTCTTGTAAAATTAAGATCAATCTTAATTTAATATTTACACGTTTGTTACTCCCTGTACCATAAATCATTTCTCCTGAGAATTAGTTGCTGGCTTTTAGGTTTTTTTTTGGCTCGGTTTGATTTGAAATTTAAAATAAAATTTGAAAAAATGTCTAGGCGCGAATTCCATGTAGTAACCGTGTAGTTACCATGTAACAAAGTCATACGATATATTTCTGAGTATATTTCTGTGAAACGCAAAAATGAGTCGGGAGAACGTAATGAATTCATCATGCGTTGCATTTTATGAACACTTCAATAAACGGAGTCCTTTAAAGTAACCTATCTTGAAGAAAATTGATTCATCAATCGTATAAAATTATATGTTCAGTGGTGAGAGTGCTAACTAGCTTGAAATATTAAATCGAATATCAGAATTTATGAATATGATTTTCCTCGGTATATTTACGGTATATTAGGAAAATGACAAAGTCTATTTCGGTATATTTCTGAAGGTCATTTTGAGAGTATATTTTGTTGATAAGACCGCGGTCCCACTGATACTTTTATCTTACGCGACCTGACGGTCGGTTGTGCGCGCGCGATCCAAATCCAACAACAGCAGCCGTAACGGTACATGCAAGCAGTGCGCGCTGAAATATATTTTTTTGAAAAATCATTTGCAAATATGCAAATTTAATCGTTGGTATTTAAACACATGTATTTAATATGTATATTTTGTGAGCTTTTCGGTGATAAAACAGAGACTATTCAGAGTCGAAAATATGTTCTGTGTTTGTGTATTTAATGTATTTAATGCTCTCATGATCTGCTACAGTTTGCCGCCAAATTGTTGATATACGAAATTCCGAAATTTGGTACTTGCCAAAGGCAAATTTTATTGTTTATAATTAATTGTCAATAATTAGTTGACAGAAAATGTGACTGGATATGATTGGCATACATTTTGATCACCATGTGGCGATCTTGATGTGATCTGTCGTGATCTCTCTTTCCATCTATGTGATCTTTATATATTTATTTAGATATATTCGCATACACATATGTATGCTTAATTTATATTAACCAAATGACACATAAACTTGTATAGACTTTTGCCAACGGAAATTACATTCAAAAATGCTTAGATGCTCAAGACGCTTGTCTGCCTACTCACCTCAAACAAAACCGTGTAGGATGCCCACACACCTATATCGGTCTTCTATAAGCTATTCCCCCTCCCAATCACCCTCCCCCTCGCCCAGTGCCAGTGCCACAAGTTAATGAAAAAACGAACGAACTTTGCTATCATTTTGGCTGTTAGAGAGCTTTGAGATTGTGTCTCAGTCGCGCAGCAGTCTCACACTGTCTGTTTGCTTCTTTTGTGTCGGTGTCGCTCTCCCATTGAGTAGGCGATCTAGCGTGAGCGTTTCGTTTGCGGTTCACCTATGCGCTGGCTGGCTGGCTGGCTGGTTGTTGGAGCACACACAGATGTATCTTTGTATCTACATTAAGATGTATCTAATAGATACTTTGCGCCACTTGCTCTCTCGCCCTAGTCTTGGTTCCAATTTGGCTGCGTGCTGAGCACATTGCAACGGCAGAAAATAAGAGTAAAAAATACAAAAACAAAATAAACGAATAAAACAATATAAAAAAAAAAAACAACAAAAAACAAACTGTAACACGCGATGTGAATAAAAAATGTTGGCCACATAATTTTCAACATTGAATATTTTTTTTTAAGTGCACAAAAATAAGTGGAAAATACAAAACAGAAATTTATATATGTACATATGTATATTTTTAAACAAATTGCACACATATATTCCAAATCAATCATATGGACTCGGAAAAGCTTTAACCTTCTCACACACACACAAACCCACATATTTACACACACACAGTCATAGATAAATGCCATAAATGTGATTCCAGTGCTGGCTCAGCAATTTCGTAGCCTATTTTCTGCACTGATTTGGTTGGACAGTGTAACTGAAAGCAGCGCCAGATCTAGCATATTTTTGTACATATATGCACATATCCCCCCGTATATGCATGTCTATATATACTGTGCCTATACCTACATATACCTAGCTATAGGCAAAAGACTCTGCTGGGCGTAGCACACAGTCAGCAGAAGCAGCAGCAGGCCGACGAAACAAATTTATTTTTAGATAAATGATCTGGTGTGTGTTTTTTTTTTTTTTTGTTTTTGATTTTGCCTCTAATTTGTTGGTTTTTATTTTTGCGCCTGCACCCCCGATATTTTAACGGTAGCCCAGATGGTTTACGTTTCGCGATGTACGGCAGTTCCAGTCGCTGAAAGACCAAGTTACCATAACTAATTGGCTGCGACTTGGTTTAAATTTGGTCTTTGGCTGCAGACAATGCAGCCTGTGCATTGGATACATACCCATTTAGAAACTCTCATTTTTCAAGAGGCAACAAATTCTACGTTAAATGTCTTGGGCCGATAGCATTTCTAGTGTTTCCATTTGCAATAAAAAATGGACCATTTTCAACGGAAAAAAAACACCATCTTCTGCTCTACCTACAAACAACATTTTGAGAAGTCTTTGCAGCCAGCGAGTTTCTTTGATACAACTCAAAAACAAATATATACAAATGAAATTCTTGAGTAAACTTTGCTCCATTTGTGGGGGCAATCCAAACTATTTTATATGGTATCTGCTCGCTCCCAAGCTTGGAAGTTGTGCGTGGAAACGCTCCAGCAAAGCGAATGGCATTCCATATTCCGCCTGCAATTTAACGGCTTTTTATTGGAAGAGTCGCGGAGCGTCCGTACGGCCGTATTTATTATGAATGCCGCTCACATGATCAATGCCTGGGCATGAATCGTTGAATCGTTGCGCCATATGGCGATCTGTTCTACAACAAAAATTTCAATTATAGTTTAAGTATTTTTTGTTGTTGTTTTTTCATGTTTTTGCTTTCGGTGTCTATGAATGGCAGCCGCCTATCAATGAGTTGTGGCGCCCACACATCCATACAAAAATATATGCACATAGTATGTGTGTGTGTGTATGTGTTTGTGTGCATGCATCTGTGTTAAATGTGTCAAAAGTCACCTGCACTAATGTTGAATGCAAACGGGTCGAACGCCAACGCCAACACCAACGCCGCCTACGGCTTTTCATTTCGCATTGTCAATGCAATTTGGCTGAAAGGGTCCCCAGGGGTCCGCTCTCGCTCTCTCTCTCGTTCTCTGGACCTGGCCTGGCTGTCTGCTTAGCCGCTATTTTATTTTATTTTATTTTATTTTTATTTTTTGGGGCAACCTGTTTTGCGGTCCATTACGTCATCTGTGGGACAGAGAGACAGCGAACGAGAGAGAGAGAGATGCTGTGCTGACAACGCGCCAAAAAGCCAAAGAACATTAACAAGAACCAGTCAAAAATGTTTAGAGACAAACAAATCAGATTTCCAAACGTAGCGATATTAGAAGCATCAACAATGTTAGTACCCTGTTATTTTTTTTTTTTTGATTTAACATAATTCAAATTAAAATTTCATCAAATTTCATCAAAAATAAATATTATGCCAAATGTTTAATTAATATTTTTTGAAAATATATATTAAAATAAAACAAAACAAATGAAGTTAAACAAATGGAACTTTATTTGCAACAAATTAAATACATGCTGAAAAAATTAATAAAATTATATTAAATTTTAAATAGCTAAAAATCTAGTAAAATGTAGCCGCCAAATGAGAGAATTTTAGACTTAAAGCAGTCGCTTAGTTCAGTCGAAAACACCTTTTGACACCGTAGCAGACGCTGACGCTGACGCTGAAGGCCAGAATATCTCGATTTGGAAGTTGTCGCCGCAGAGATACTAGAGAGAAAGACAGAGCGATAGAGATGCAGAGCCAGAGGCGGGGCAGAGAGTGGCAACGATAGAGAGAAATGAGCGCCAGATAGAGAGAATGAACGATCTGTTCGGTCTCTTTGCTGAGTTGAAGAATATTTCGACGCTGTTTTTGGCTTTTGGCTTTTGAGTTTTTTTTTTTTTTCGGAATCTCGGAATTCATTTCGGCCAAGGTTACGTTTATATAAGTAATAAACATAAAGCTTGTCGTGTGTGTGTGTGTGCGTGTGTGTGCGTGACTGGTCTCTGACCATATGTGATATTTTTGCAATGTTTTAATCGTCCAATTGAACAACTCTTCAGGCCAACACCCACAACAGCTGTGAAAATGCAATCCTAAAGGAGCACAAAATCCTTAATGCAAAACCCACCAAAGCGAAACAAACGAAACTAAAAACCCCAAAAAAAAAAAACTCACTCACTCCGCCACCCCAAAAAAAAAAAGAAAAGAAAAAATTCCACCCACGCCGCGTGAGAAAGTGAATCCAAGAAAAAAAACCTACGATGACAGGCCGCCATCAACTGACGGGGGGCATGGGGCTGGCCCTGATCCTGATGTTGCTCCTGGTGAACGAAATGCCCAACTCGATGGGCTACAACATCGATCTGCCCAGCTATGTGCGGTACCAGCAGGCGACCAATTCCATGTTCGGCTTCAGCATTGCCCTGCACAAGGCACGCAACGATTACTTCACCAATCAGAACAAGTAAGTACAAGTACAAGTACCAGGGGGGGGGGCCCAATGGGTGGGGCCCAGCTACCCCACGCCTCCCAATGGGGATGGGATGACCTTCTGGCATGGCCCCCCCCCCACACAACCGTAGACAATGAAGCGTGAACCATTCCCAGCCATGCCATAAACTGTAACAAACAAAAGCCAATTAAATCGGGAATATTTTATATGATCTTGAAACACCACAAAATGACATGGCACGAAAATGCTGCAGCTGTAGGATTCGTTTTCAAAGAGTTTGCTCTGCAGATAAATACATATGTGTGGATTGTTTGATAACATGGTTTTTATGGGAGGAACAAGTCTTAGGAAATGCTCTAAAAGTTATCTAAAGTGAAAATTAAATATCCCAACTTTAGATTTTCTACAAATTCAACATTTCCACATTGATTTATAATTTTATCTTAATTATTTTTGTCATTAATATTTTAAGCACTAATTTATATAACTGAAATAGTTGAGAAACTATTTTGCTAGATATTAATTCTG